ATGGTGTGCCGTAAGAACGCTACAAAAAAAGTAAGCACATAAATTTATCAAATACCATATTTCAGTGTCAACTTCTGAAGGCATTATTTATGCACATATTGGAATTTTGTATATTTAAATACATATCATTAATCTATAGATTCTCAGTTTCTTTACATCTGGGTCTCACCAGGTTCCACCTTTGTGCTTTGTTCCTTGCTCCAGACTTTGTTCCCTCCTTCTCTGGCTTCTGCATAGCTGTTGCACATATCACCTCATCTTTCTGTCCTTGGCCTTTACTTCTGCTCCCCCATCAGTTTTGCAGTGCTGGTATGGGCATAACTGATCAGTAGATAACTGATGACTTAATCTAGATACTTGTCTCTTGGTGCAGAAGACTTAAGTTAATATCTAAAGTGGATTTAACGCTGGCGTACACTGGCTTGTGCAGTCTTTCTGCATTTCATTCATGCTACGTAGTATAAGGACCAGAATTCATAGAATCAATTCATTTAACTCTGAATCATTTCAGAGGTAGGCCAGACATCTGTTCTCATTCTTCGGGTAATTTTGAGATGGATAGTATTTTAGTTTCATGGTACGGAATTTGAAGACAGGAATGTGTGAAATTCTTTTTCTTTACTCTTCCAGGTACAAAAATATAACGTGCGTTGTTTATACTGGTGATAGAGATGTCACTGGAGAAGATATAGTAGAAGGCGCATTCAGAAGATTCAATATTAAATTATTTCATCCTGTGAAGTTTGTATTTCTAGAAAAACGGTATCTTGTGGAAGCTTGTCTTTACCCTTACTTCACTTTGCTGGGACAAAGTTTAGGGTCTGTGTTTCTTGGTTGGGAAGCTCTTCTAAAGTGTGTTCCTGATGTTTATATTGACTCAATGGGCTATGCCTTCACGCTTCCACTCTTTAAATATTTAGGCGGTTGTCGTGTTGGATGCTATGTTCATTATCCCACTATCAGTACCGACATGCTTTCTGTAGTTAGGAATCAGGATACCAGATTTAACAATGCAGCGTTCATTACAAACAACCCTCTTTTCAGCAAATTTAAACTTGTCTACTACTACTTGTTTGCCTTTATGTATGGATTGGTTGGTTCTTGCAGTGATGTGATTATGGTTAATTCTTCTTGGACGCTAAATCACATCCTTTCCCTCTGGAGAGCTGGGGCTTGCACTAGCGTTGTGTACCCACCGTGCGATGTTCAGACCTTCTTGGATATTCCACTGGAACAGGAAAAGAGCGCTGCTGAATATTCCATTGTTTCTGTCAGCCAGTTCAGGCCTGAAAAAGATCATCCTTTGCAAATTAGAGCCTTTGCTAAAATGCTGAAAAAGAAGAGACTGGGGCAGCAGCCATCACTGAAGCTTATCTTAATTGGAGGCTGTCGTAACCAGCAAGATGAAGAGCGTGTAGATGATCTTAAACGTCTTTGTGAAGAGCTAGGAGTTAGTAACGATGTGACGTTCAGAATAAACATTCCATTTGAGGAGCTAAAGAAGCACCTGGCTGAGGCTACCATCGGCCTGCACACGATGTGGAATGAACACTTCGGGATTGGTCAGTATCTTTTCTCAATTTTAAACAGTTTGTCCCAGGGTTAGAATACAGTTAGTGCAGGGCTTCAGTTCATGATTCAGACTCCTCAGTGTAGGTGTCTCAGCATAGAGGTCTGCATGTAAAGCAGGCCGCCTACTCCCATTCTTGTCAGTGGCAATCTAGCTGAGGTGAAGCCTGCAGACCAGTTCAGGTGACTAGCCGCTAGGTGTTACTGTAGCACAAGCTGAATCACTGTGGACTTTCCAGGTTGTATTGATTTTAAGCTCAATTTTAGTGACCTAAAAAGACAGCTAGTGTCATCTGTGCTGCCCTAGGATGCTCTGACTGACCTCCAGCTGTCATTCTGCAAGGCAGTGGGTCTCCTTATGGTCCTGCATTATGTCTGCCAGCTTCACACAGATGTCTTCAATACCCTGTAGTGCCTCAAAATGTACTAGGTACTTAAATGTTTAAGCAACTTAAATTGCGCTGTTTGGACGGTAGTGGGAGTCTAGACATTTAGCTGATATGTAAACATCCATGTGTAGAGGTTTTGAGCATGATTCATCTGTTTCAACTGTCATGTGAAACGTCTAGCATATGTCATTAGGACCGGCTGCTGTTTCAGAGCGCTGTGTCTCCAACAGGTACTGTTCCGTATTTGTAAGCCCCATGTGAACGCCATCAGGTACCGTAGGTCATTCCGCTGCACTAGACACTTATGTTAAGGCACCTAAACTAAGCCCTTAAATCAGTTTCCTTAGCGTGAACCTGATTCCCAGAGCAGTTGGGACCTGGCGTGAAATGTGCTGTCGTATGAAATTAAGATAGCAGACGTGGTTTATTGGGATGAGTTGTGTTTCCCTAACTTTGAAAGGGAATGTAAGATTGCCATGTACCATAAATCTAAAACAGGTAAGTCAGCGGCCAAATAGATGGATGTACGTAGATATAATGTGGCCAAACTCCAGTTAATGTCTTCAGACTTTATTAGATTATAAGTTAAGTAAATACTTGTAGTAGCTTATATTCTGTAGGAACTTAATATAAAAAATTGACTGTGAATCGTCTCCCAGAGGCAACTGCCTCAAACTGGAAAAAAAGATTTCTCATATTTTTGCGTCCATAAAATACAGTTTATTTTAAAGTTTTATTTTTAATCATACTGTGGTTTTGAATTTCAGCATGATTTCACATTCACCTCCAATGGCTTTTTGCCTTTAGAAAACGCGTTCCAAAATTTTGGAGCGTTATTTATAGCTGGCAATTTTTGAGCTAGTGGAACTTTTAAAAATCAAATCAGAACTGAGAAAAATCAGCAATGAAATGATGTCTGAGGTCTGTTTTGGAACCATGGAGGAGAGCTGGAGTTGATCCATGTGCTATATGCTGTTCTCCTGCAGGTTTTGGCTAAGGAAAGCTTATTATCTATCAGATTCCTGCCATTGCTGATTTTTCATTAAAACTTTTTATTGCCAAAAGTATAGATTCAGCGATACAAATCTACTTAGTTTGTCTTGCTGAATTGGTCAAAAAACTGTATTAGTTTTGTTTCATCAGCATGTTCTGTTTCTTTTTTCAGGCGTAGTTGAATGTATGGCAGCTGGCACAGTTATCCTGGCTCACAATTCTGGAGGCCCCAAATTAGATATTGTGGTACCCTATGAAGGACATATTACAGGCTTCCTAGCAGAAAGTGAGGACAGTTACGCTGAGACTATGGCACATATTCTCTCTTTGTCTCCTGATCAAAGGTTAGAGATCAGAGAAAATGCTCGTCAGTCTGTGCACAGATTTTCTGACCAGCATTTTGAAGAGACGTTTCTGTTATCTGTGGAGCCATTATTTAAATAAATGTATATGTATAAAACTGTATGTGAATAAAATTAACTTTTTGTATTTGACCATATGTCTCCTGTAAATATATTGCAATCTATGATCCCATGGTCCTATTCAAAAAGATTTTTTTCCTTCTGTCAGGATATCTGCTGTATGTAATAGAGATTTTTTTTTTACTAGGGAAGAAATGCTGCTGAAATTTTTCTGTGTTGACTATCTGACAATACAGTGCACTGCAAAACCGTCTGAATTCACAACATTTTCCTGCTTAATAGAAGAACAACTGGAAGATCTTTTATTTATTGAATATTTATTTTGCCTTCAAACAGTCCCCACCCATTTCATAACTTTTCACCCACCGTCACACTTTTTTAAATCAACATTTTTGTGTGATAGCTTTCATATCCAGATTTTTTTCCAGAATCTTTATCACGTTTTAAATTTGCTGTCCCTCACTGAGTGGCATGCCCGGTTTTAAATGTGGTTCTTCTTGATCTTCTCATGCATAAGATAGGCTCCTTTTTACTTCTAATGAAAACGTTAATTCTCTAATAATGTGCAGAATCCTTCCAGAAACGTACAATGCGTCTGCAGGCACTTGTATCCATGTATAGACTTCTTCCATGGTATAGTTAAGTACTCTCTCACAATATGAAAAGCAAATGAATTCATTTTTTGGAATCTTTTGCCTGCATTTTCTAATGAGAACACCTAGGTAGCTGTTTCTCAAATGGGCTTAAATGGAGATTTCACTAGCATTAACTACAGTGATTGCTCTAGGTTAATCGTATGGTATTTACTAACTTGCTTGTTAATAAGTGTAATAGCTGTACTTGTATATGCTACTTACATTAACTCTTTTCTCCTGTTCTTCTACTGTATGACAACAGTATTTTTGCAATCCTATTCTATTGCAGATTTTTCTATCCTTAAGGAAAAGGAGGCTCTAGATTAGAGGACATGTTTAAACGATACACCTTTGTGAAATTTCCAGCTGTAAACTACTGCTTATTATTAAATTGAGAACAAAATGAACCAACTGTTAAAAGAATAGATGTACTTTTTTTGTCAAAAGTGGAAAAATGTGTAGCCTTTTCTGAGCCCACAAAGCAGTATTTTGTATTTTAGCCAACTAAAAGAGCGGTGCAAAAAACTACTGAAATCAGAGTTAAAATGTCTTTTTCCCTCTATTTAAACTTTACCTGGATTATATGAAATTTTGTATGTGAAAAAATACAGTTGGAAGAACCTGTTGTTCATGTCTTATTAGGAATTTGGAAAAGCACAATCCTCATGGTGCTAATAAACACTGCTACTGCTACTATATAAAACTGCTGAAGAGTTGGTGACGCTATGTACAGTCAGTACTGCGTAAATCAAACATGGGGATTATAAAGCTATATTGGCAACACAAAGAGGTAATGACAACCTGGAAAAGCTTGTTAAAACAGGAGCTTTGCTGAGAAGGGAAGAACAAACATACTTACTAGGACACTTTTCTTAAACGATACAAAAATGGTTGAAGAGAGCATATAGTCAGAAATGTACTAAAGTCAATGTTGTCAGAGATGTCCAGAGTTCATTAGAATAGTAAAGATGAAAATTCATTTCAGTCTGTATCAGGATTTTTCAACATTGAGGCATCCAAGTAAGTAGCCTGATTTTTCTGTTTTTTAGACAAGAATGACACCAACCCTCTATTAATTTTGAAAAGCAGCTGATTTACTTGGCATTTAATGTCACATGTCTATTTTTAAATCTTTCTACTGATGCGGCGGAAATTTCAAGCAAATTAAAGTTTTGAAACAATAGTTACTCTGGTACTCTAGGTAGCTGCTGCTTCCTGCTTGCTTTTTCCAGTATGTGTGTCAACACTAAATGGCCCAGGGTTATTTCCTGAAACCTCACCAGATTTTATAAGTAGTTTGCTAGGTGAACTCATCTTTTCTTCATCTGTTTGACCTTTAGTTACTGAAGGGACGGGAGACTCTATGGTTCTGTCTGCTGAAGAAGTTACCACTTTTTCCAGAGATCCCTTCAGCCCATGTCTCAGTTCATCTTCAGAATCTTCAAAATTTCTGTAAAGAAAAAAAGAAAATTATATTAATTAAACAGACAGCTCTGTTATAAGCTTTTCCAGTTTCAAAGGCTTTGAGTTTTTTTTTTAAATACTTTGTAAAGTATACAGAAGCTAGACACAAAAATGTGACCTGCTTGTTCTCCTTTCTCCATCAGATTGTTCTCCTGTATTTATAACGTCAAAGAGCAGGAGTTGCAAAAGCCATAGTAAAATACTTCTGCGTAACGTTTTGATGACGGCATTGGCATTTAAAATACTAAATTGGAGAATTAAAAGCTAAATTAGCAGACTTTGTAAAACAAGTAAGTTTTCTTGATTTATGAATTTAAAAGGACAGAGAGGAAAAGCTTCAGGCAATGCAACCTGCCATTTCATGAAAACTGTTCAGTTGCATGGATTTCTTCTGGTGTGCTTGACTTACGTGTCATCATCATCTGATCTTGGCTCAAGTCTCCCTTCATCAACATCAACAGCAGAGTACGTTTCTGAATCATCTTCCGTGTTTTCTTTTGGAGGCAACAAGGTTAATCTCCCTTCTGGAAAGGGAAAGAAACGTTCCTTTATTTATATATTAAGTAAACTACAAAAGTGTGTATAAATTAATAGGAAATAAATGAGTAAATGCTTGAATTTTTTTTTTTGTTTAAATTACAACAATGTAAATATCATGCTTAACTGACTTCTGTTAATCACAAATGTTTTAGTCAGTGGTTTACAACTTTTGCTCAAAGTGTTTTGTAGGTCATGACCATAGGGCTGTAAAAGGTAAGCAAAGAAGGGAATCTGTTGTTAGAATGTTTTAAGTTTCCGATACAGGGTTCTGCGTTTTCAGTGGGAAAGCTCAGGGACTCTTTGGGAAAGGCTGAAAATTATTGCTTGGATGTAGCTGTAGTTCTCTTAAGAATGTTCACTTTCAAAGGCTAAAGGGCAATCCAAACCTGAAAGGTGAGAAAACAGTGATATAAGAGTTGCTATCTTACTATGTAAAGGCTAAATTCTGCATTTCAACAGAAATCATCAGCTTGAGTAGCAGGGCAGAACTGGGTATGGTGAATGCTTTAAAAATATTTTAATAAATGTAACTGATAAAAGCAATAGCAGTTAGAATACTTGTGTGACCTTATTCTTGCATTAGCCCTATGAACTACTGATATTAGTGAAGTGTGGCTTGATTTCCTTTTCCTTAAGGGTAAGCTATAAAGCTAGTCCTAGCAGAGGAATGTACGTGTAGCTTGTTTAGCCTTCAGGATGGGGCAGTTTTAAAAGACCTTGTTATACTATGAGAAGACATGCATATGAGGCATAATTAGCAGAAGAGTGCTGACTGCACGATTGCAAATGAAGGATATTTCTCACAATCCATGAAAAATGTTAGTATTTGGCATGTACAATGTAGCTGGCTTAAAAGGCCTGTCATCTAATTAAACATTCAGTAGATTGCCCGTACTGCAAAAAACACAATCTCAAGTTACATTTACTGCATTTTTCTACGGGCAATATTCTTGCTTTGCGTTTTAGTCATGCACTTTGACTCAAAGTAAATGTAGTTTTTAAAACACAATGTGTTATTTCAGGAAGATGTGCTGCAGTATAAGTAAGCTGGAATTAATTTCAGTGTCAGCTGTATCAGCGTGGATGGTGTTGTAAAATGGTGTGTCACCACTGCAGTTTAAGCCATCATGTACTACAGTTTATAGCTATTCCATATAAATACATGTATTTGTATAAATGTTTTTACAGGGATCTTCAGTCTCCGCAGTTGCAGGGTTATGTTTTCTTCTAACATGCTGGTAGTAGTAGCTTACCTTCATCTACCCAAGTAAATGAAAATACTCTATATGAAGTAATAGCTGATAAGTAGAGCTTCCCCTTTTTCCTGCAATTGAAAATGGCAGCTACCCAGTTAAAATCCTGAAAGAAGCTTCTTTCATTGCTACAGGATAGAGGCTGACCTTGTTTTTCTGCTTTGTCAACTGTTTCAAAATTTTGGTGCAAGTCCTCTCTAAAGGTAGTAGAACAATACACCAAAGAAAAACTTGCAGAATTTACAGTAACAAACATCCTACCTCTTTCTTCTTCAGGCTGAATAAAGGAGTCATCAGACAGCTCTGTTTTTGCTAAGATGTTCGGAAGTGTCCCTGGTGCTGTTTTTTTCCATTCCTTTCTGTTTTCCAGGGTGTCTTCAGGCAGAATAACTTGGTCAGCTGAAGAACAGGAAGGTTCTCAGGTCAGTAAAGCATGCCTGTGGCTTGGCACTGTCTTCCTCTGTCAGATTCAGGCTTTCTAATTTTAACACTGATTTATTCCTTTAGGGTAGTCCTGAAACTTGACTTCTCTTTCCTTGAACTTTTTTCCCTTTTGAAAACTTTTTTTCCTAAGTATTCGATCTGATTGATACTGTAGATAAAAAATAGTTTGCCACTATTTGCCACTAAAAATTTCTAACACCGATTTTAATGCTCAAATAACTGCTAATTACGCCTGGCTGGAATAGACAGTTGCAGCTTCACTAAGAAGGTCTTGCTTTCAGATGTGCTGGCTTCTTAGGGCTGAAAAAGCTTCATAGAAGTTCCTGCTTCTGCTGTGCCCTACACTCATCATCTAAGGCAGAATGAAGGAATAAGAAGTGGAATACTAACGCAATAGTCTGCTTTGTCCTGATTGTCCATGCAAACTCTTCAGGGAGTTCTGAGTACATGAGATACTAGGAGAATGCTGGAATGCTGGAAGAGTCCCTCTTTTGCAGCAGTCAGTCACTGGAGATACTTGGCTGACTGGGAACACACGCTGTGGTACTCTGAGAAACCTAGCAATTCACCTGTTGCGAAAAGGAGCATCACCACAGCCACATTTGTGTGAGGGTGCAGCAGCCCTTGTAACTGTGTAGCAACACCACTGTGTGTAGTGTTCTTGGATGGTGTTGGCCACAGACTGTTTTAGTTCTTGTGTATCACCGACTCAAGGCTCAAGAAAGTCATGTTAATTAGTTGGTCGCTTAGCTGCATGGGCTGGCATTTTCAGCTCTTGTTCACGCAGCACACAGTGTAATTCTTATAATGCAGCTTTGGTCAAGCCCTGTTTATATTTATGAGCAATATCTCCAGGTATCATCATGAGCAGCACAGCATGACTGCTATACTGGAGTGAGGGGAAAATGACAATTGCATTCTTTGGTTTAACACACAGGACAACCTCAGTTAGTGTGAAGTCCTGCAATTAAAAGTCTGTCGGATCCTGTGAGCATTCTAGTGTGGAACTGTCTTGGCAAAAGTCTATAACTACTCTGGCTGAATTCTAGCCGTTCCTGTCTTCACTCACTGAAAAATACAGCACATTCTTACCTAGTTCATTTTCAGCCATAGTAGGGCATACAGATGTGCCATTAGCATCAGCTAAAATATTCAGGAGTGTCTGAGGGGCTCTAACTTGCCAATGTTTTCTGTTTTCTTTGATATCACCTACATCACTGGACTCTAAGGAGAAGAAAAGAAGAGGCAAAGTTATTTCAGGTTTTTCAAGCAGATTTCAGTGTGATTATAATGTTGACTGTGTCCTTAGAGAGCTCATCAGATAAACTTGCTATAGTCTGAAGTTAACTGAACTTAACTAGCTCCTAACGAATTTTCAGGACAAATATATTCACTTTGCTTTGCATTTCTCTATGAAATACCTGTTCGGTATCCAGCTAGTTCTTCCAAACCCCTGTCTGTATGATCTTCATAAACTTCCACTAATTTCTCCTTAAGAGTCTCACCAGCCACAACAGTTAAAGTCTTGCTGAGTTTATCTAGTACCTGAAACAACAGTAAGTTACTTAGAAATTTGGGACAGTAACTAATTGCCTTCCATTTCATTGTGTTTTACAACCATTATTATGCATGCACAGGCAGGTTGTGTAACAAAAGTGAAACAGTAGGACTCAAAACACATACTGTGATTTATGTATCACAGGGCTGCCTGAGGCTCTGCAGAAAAGTAAAACAACAGAATAGCAAAATAATGCTTAATAAGTTAAGTACCTATATTCTGGAAATGAATTCTACTTCTACCAATGTTGCTATTAGAAATACTTTAAACCTCCTAATATGCTAATAAAAATCTTAAATTAATAGCTAGCTATGATGTGTTGACTGGCTATAAACATTCTCATTTTAACAAATGAAACCACATTATGTTGTCTGTAGTCTCACTTCGACTTTGTCTAAATAATACCTGTTCATCACGATGTCATTCTTGCTTTGTGATGTAATACTACTGAAAATAAATAGAACTGTGCTAATATTATATTAAAATAGCACTATAATGAATCACGATCAACTTTTAGTATTATTTGTGGGGGAAAGTATGTCAGGCACAGAATGGACAGAGATCTTGTTATATAATTGTTTGTAACACAGCCCAACCCTTCCCCAAAAAGGATCGAAAAAGACTTATGCAAGCCGAAGAGGATGGCACACAAATGAAAACAAAACAAAAAATGTAACAGGAAGTTGACTTAGAAAATTATTTAGAATAGCAGGCATATGTGTCTTGCCTGAGAAACTTTCCTCTCAGGTGAAAATAGCCTTTTTATACCATGGATGGTATGATTAGATTATCGTATTCTACTTAGAAACTATACTAGGGAGAATATTGAATTGCAGGCCCATTTCTTCCTAATTCTACT